ACTGTATTTATTTATATATTTATATATATATTATTTTATATTATATTTATTATATAATTATTTATATATTTATTTTATAGACTTATTTGTATATATATTTATATATATATACTGTATTATTATTTTATATATACTGCAATTATTTATATATTTATTTATATATTTATTTTATATATATGTGTTGTATATTTATTTATATATATATATTTATTTATATATGTATTTATATATATTAATATATTTATATGTTTATATATTTATTTATATAATTATTAAAGTTGTTTGTATATATTTTTTGTATATTTATTTGTGTATTTATTTATATATATTTATATAGTTAATATGTTCATATATTTATTTATATATTTATATATATATATTTATATATATATTTATATATTTATTTGTATATTTATTTATATATTTATATATATTAATATGTTCATATATTTTTTTTAATATATTTTTATATTTAAATATATATATATATTTATATATGCATATATATATTTTTTTTCCGTACGAAACATTTGCATGAAACTTCACTCGGGCCATCTCGGATTGACTCGAGTGAGTACGATACGAGGAACAAGAGCAGACACTTCCGCAATGTCGTGACGCTCGAGTTTTACTATTATTGTGTATTGCTCTTTCTATGTTTACCTACGGTAGGCCTATGAAATTTCACGGACTTATGTGATGTACGTCACTGTGTAACTAACTGTGACCTTCTTGGATGTTATTAAATGTTAGTATATTATCTACAACAACAACACCTAGTACCTCCTGTTATACAGTGTAGATAGGTACAGTTATACCAAAGGCTAGAGAGAAAGAGGATAAACTATAGGCCTAACTACAGGCTGACGTCTTACCTAGGCCCTCCTTAAACTAGGCCTAGGGTCAGGCTGACACAACAGTCACGCTTCACATACTGACATGGACTGAAATTTTTTTTTGTGGGGGGGTGAAATTTTTGGGGGGGAATGGGACAAAATTGAAGCATGAAATGAAAAATAGAGCGCATAAGAGAAATATTATTAAATAAATAATATACCATTCCGGCGTTATTGAACTTGTCCAAACTATCATTGTTTAATGCTAAATAATAATAATAATAATAATCATAATAATAATAATTTCAGCATTAATTACCCTTGGCCTAAACCTTGTAATGAAGAACCTATATTTACTAGGCCTATAAATAATAATCGCCCTGAGGGGAATATCTTTTGTGTTATTTCCCCTTAACGTCGTTTTTTTAATTGTTCTCTAATTCCTCCATTGTCTAAGTTCCCCCTAAAGTACAGGTAATAATAATAA